AGGCGCTGGCACAGGGTGCCCAGAGAAGCTGTGGCTGCCCCATCCCTGGCAGTGTTCAAGGCCAGGTTGGACACAGGGGCTTGGAGCAAGCTGCTCCAGTGGAAGGGGTCCCTGTCAGTGGCAGGGGTTGGAGCTGGAGGAGCTTTAAGGTCCCTTCCAACCCAAACCAATCTGGGGTTCTGGGGTTCTTTGATAGACTCACATTTTGGTTGCATGATTTTGTTCATGTAAGTTAGGTTCTCCTGTAGCTCCTGTGCTGTCTGCACGTGTGCTCAGTGCTTCTGAGAGGAAGATTTCCTTCAGGGAAAACCAGTTTAGTTTTCTTACAGCATTTTAAACCTCCAGTTGTCAGTGGTACTGAGCAAATGCGTCTCGTTTCTGTGTCCTGGAGCTTGAGTTGTAAATCTTCTTTTGTTTGAACGTGAAGAATGCTATTTAAAAATGACTGGGGCTGAGGGCAGGAGAGGTGAGTGAAAGCTGGGTTGGAACGTTAGAAACCGAACAGTAAACACCAGAGTAACAGTGAGTTACTCTAGGTGTGGATTTCCATTCCCTACCCAAATATTTGCATAACTGCCTTTTCACTGACTTCACCAGATTGAGTCTTCCCTGAAAGATAATTTGGCTTCCCTGCCTTTGTAATCCATTTCTGAGGTGCTCTAGAAATACCCTGAGGACAGTGGAAACACTTTCTAGTTTCATTTTCACATATCCATCAAGCTCCAAGTATGTGGAGACGGCGGAAGAGGGAGTGATCCATCAGTGATTTTAGTTCTTTCTCTTGCATCTGAAGAAGAACCAAGTGTCTTTTGTGGGTACCTACTCCTTGTACAGAGGCTGATAGGAAACATCACTGCCTTTGGCTTACTTAGGATTTGTTTAGCTCATGGAGTCTACGTGGTGTTACTTTATTTTGCATCTCCTGTGTTTTGCATTGCAGGGTTGTGTTTGCCATCCTGTGGGTCATGAGGAAATAGTGGGACCATATGGCAGTAAGTCATCATCAGGGGCTCTTTATGAGCAGTTCCAGTAGGTCAGGCAGCAGCATCCGAACGCCTCTGAGCAATTTAAACTGGTATTTAATGAAGGTGCTTCTGTTTCTCTTCCATAAGGACTTCAAACGCACTCGGATGAGAAGGGCTTGGTAGTGCTAGCTGAGATTTCAGGTTAGAGGTGAGGTACCCTCTCCTGCTCTGTCCTGTGCCAGAGCTTCATACTGCACATCTGCCTTGTAACAGGTCCGGATGAACTCCCATTAACCAGAAGGTGCATCAGATTTAGTTCAGCCTTTGCACATCCAGATCTGGAACCGTGGAACAAACCACATGGCAGCAGTTACAGCTTGCCAAGGGTGCTGGTTCAGCGCAGAGGCTGTCCTTGACTCCTGGGGTGTGTGTTGTGAGGCACCACGGGCTGTCCCCCCAGCTTGTTGGCATTGTGTCAGGGGAGGTTGCTTTGGTGGTGCGTTGTTTTGTGGGGCAGGGCAGTTGAGAGAGGAGTGAGTCTTGAAAAAGAACCAAATTACACTTCCCTGTTTGTCCACATCAAGCAAACTTTGGTGCTTGTGGGTCAGGCGCTTCCAGCAATGCCAGAAGCACACTGGTAGCAGGCAATGCGTAATGCCAGAGTGTTGTGTAAGCAAGAAGCTGTACTTTGCACAGCACCGGTACAGAACACAAGTGAACAGCTCAGTGTGGGGTTTAAATCAGGAAAAATCCTATAAAATGGACTTTTCTGCCCTATCACTTTGGTAAACTTTCTTTGAGGAATAACTCAATGATTTCCAAGAAGTAATGGTGGTTTTTTTTTCCATTTTATTTTCAAATCACATTTATCCAGAGTTTTCTTTTGGGTTTTGTTCTGTTGTTTTGGTTTTATACATTCTTGGAAGTTCAGTGCTTGGAAAATTCCAGGATGTTGCAGAAAGAATGTAGGCACTGGGGGAGTAAAGGAAAACCTTCCGTAACCTTCCCTTTGGAATGCAATCCAAAGGATAGTGTTACCGGGATCCTGCATAGTTGTTTTACCTAGAAAGTTAATGAAGGCCTGGATGCATCCCAGCGGTATAAATCCATAATGGCAGTTCCCAAAGGAACTGGGAACAGCCCTATTTCCTAAAGAGCATATTTAAAAGCAGAAATACTTTAGGGAGGGAGTTGAACTCATGTTGTCAGAGTAGGAAATATTGGTTTTCCCAATGGCTGCAGGTGTTCCCGAAGTATTTGTGTTCCAGTTACTCTTAAGCGCACTGTATTAGCCTGGAAAGATGGGACAAATGCTTTCTTGGGATCTTTATTGTCTGATGCATTCCAGAGTTTCTCAGGGAATGCTGGAGATAATGGCCACTGTGGTGCTTGAACACAGGAGTTACTCTGTGCTTGGGGTACATACTCTGAAGATCCTTTCTCTCTTCTTAAGTACAGGAGTATCTTGGTGTTAGGCTCTTTGCAAGGCAGTGTAAGGATTGTGTATGAGCAGTCCTCTGTGAGCACCTTACAAAAATCACATAGAAATGGGTTCTGAAGCTGCCTCTACTTTGTGTTTGGTGCCCACTTGGCCATGGGCAAACCTTTATTCTGATCACTGTAATTATTAGTGTTCATTTCCAGTCTTTGTTCAAAACCTCGTAGCTTCCTGCTGCTTTATGTTTGCACTAAAAGTAATGTCCTTTTCAGAGTGTTTCCCAGTGACGGCTGCGTTTGCAGTGTAGCTGAATTTAAACAACAGCAGTTGAGCAATTCTTCTTGCCTACTCTCTAAGCTCCCTTTTGATTTCCTATTCCCCACAGTGTATTCAGCGTGTTGGAGGGAAGAGCTGTGTCTTCCATGGGCTTGTTTGTTTTGTCTGCTTCAGCGAGTCCTGCAGGATCTCTGACTACCTGCCCTGAAGTTCCTTTTACTGCCACCAGTGTGAATGATGGTCTTTAAATGACACCTTCCATAGCAGAATCTTTTATTCAGATTAAATCTGATTTCTTCTTAATATTTTGACATTTGGAAGCTTCTCATAAACTTTCCTTCTTTCCAGTCCTGTTGCTTCATGCTGTTCAGCAAAACCATCTTCAGTACTCATCTCGAAGATGATTTTCTCCCTTATTCCAGAGTTTCCTATATTTCCAGTCACTAAGTGAGCTGGCTGCCCTTGTGTGTCACTTAGAAATGTTCTAGAGTCCCCTTTTCCATCGTGTAACACAGCAAAGCATCTTCCTGAAGCTCAGATGTCCATAACCTGTCTTTGCATGCCTGCAGCGGGCTGCCCCGAGGTGATGGATAGGCAGTTGCTGTGCTGTAGCATCCCACCAGTAGCTGAGAACTAAATGTGAAGAGGTGGTACCTTGGAATGGATGGGTTTCTTCTGGTTTTTCCCAAAGCCTTTATATGACCTGATCATCTGGATGTGGGGGTTTTCCCATCCAGTTTTTGGCTAGTCATTGATCTGTAATCATACCCTGATTGGTTTTGGTTTGAGGTTTCTTTCTCCCATTGTGGTTGTTAAGCATATTTAGTTCTAAGAAGCCCCAGGGCACACAAGGTGCCAATACAGCAGTCCTGTCATCTTCCCTTTTCTTCTCCCTGCCACAGTAATTTACTCCTCGTACATTAAATCCCAACATTGGGTTGCTTCTCTTCTTAATGACTGGTTTTACTGTGGAGCCTCAGGTCTTTTGCTTCCTGGTGAGTTCTTCCCCCTTCCTGCTCTTCACAGTGCCTTGAGGCAGAGTTGATCATAGTGAGGTGGACAAATTATAAGGCAATTTAATAAAGCCTAATTACTGCTTCAGTCCTAATACCTTCTACTGCCCCCAGCACTGCTTTAGTCTTGGTTTATTCATTGATTTTTTGCATTTAATATAGTTTTTTACAGGCTGTGCCCCCCCCTGCCCCACCGTCTGCTGAAGCTGGTCCCTTCAGAGTGAGGGTTTCAGGCACTGGTGGCATTGCCAAGCAATCTCCATGTAAAAACTGAGCACTGACTTTCCCTAAGTTCCCATGATGCCTCCAAAGGCTGAAGCAGCAGTAATGTAGGAATAATTATATAGAGCCAAGTACAAATGTCTCAAAGCAGCAGATTCTTCCACAGCTAAACCCCAGCTAATACCAAACCGTGGAAGAGGAGCTGGGATTGCTCCAGCAGGGTGTTTGCAGTAGGGATGAGAAATGGGTGTTTGGGCAACATGTTTCCTTGTGGCAAAGGATTTCAGTAGACAGAACTTTAAGTAAAGCCTCATGTAATCATAGAAAGCTTTTTTCCCTGTTGATAGAGATGAGCACAAGCCTTTGATATTTGGTTTACAAGCACCTCAAGTGCTGTATTTTGTGTCTGTATTTACGTTTTTACTCATTCTTCAGATGTTAACAATTCCTTGTCTACTGCTGATTTCTTTTGAAGAATTCACCTTACTACTAAATACTTCTTTTTCAAACTGCTCATGACTCTGGCCATTCCACCTTAGATATTTGGGTCTCATCTTCCCTTCCAGGAGCTGTTGAAGGACACGTGTTTGTACCCACTGTACATTGCTTTTCCTGCAGTGCCCAACTGCTTCCTTTCATTATTTACCTCTATGGTTTCAGACAGGTTAAATTGCCTTTAATTGTGACCACATCTGTTCTGCAAGCAGCGCCATGCAGGGAACAGCACTGTAGTGGAAGCACTTCTGGAAGTGGTTAAACTACCTTTTGGTTGTGCTTAAGGGCAACAGAGTGTTGTATTTTTGATCTAGGCTGGAGAAAGCTATTTAGGAAGAGAAAGAACCAAACCATAGCTCTAAAACGTCTTAATTTTGCCGTTTAATAGTTTGCATTCCATTTTTCTTTAACTGTTTAAGAAAACTCTTAAATCCTGGTGGTTCTTGGGGTGTTCCATGTATTAAAAAGCGTAAGCACATGTATAAAAATGTGCCTGGTGCAAAGAACTGGGGGTGTTTTCACTGTGCTGTTGGGCAGATGAGAGGGATCGTAGCATGGCATTTTACCGTATTGATCTGTTTCCTCCTACAGAGAGGATGGAGAGCTGGAAGATGGGGAAATAGATGATGCAGCCTATGAGGATGTGAAAGAACATGGTTCAAAAGGTGATGATAAACAGAAGAATGAGAAAGGACACAGGAAATCACGGAAGAAACGCAAAAAAGAGAAAGAAAAGAAGAAATCCAAAAGGAGAAGGCGGGATAAGCATAAGGTGGGGAAATGCAAAACAAGAGGGTGGAGGTGCTGGTTTTAATGCCAGGTTTAGCCAAGAAGCCAGGGAATTAGGGAAGAAAAATGCTTTTATTACTATTTAGTCAATCTTTGGTGTCTGAGGGCAGGTTTGGGGTGTTCCTCTCTCACCAATGCACTTCAGTGCTAAAGAATTAGTGTATTAAATAGACTTCCAGCACATGGAAGGAAGTGCATATTCACACATTCCAGTGACAGTTTATGTGGTGTAAGAGACATAAACTGTTAAATAACCCAACCGTAGCACTTTTGAAACCATAGTTTGGAAACTCACTTGTTTGCTTTGCCTCAATGCATTTCATAAACTTGGGTTTCCTCTGTTAATATCGAAGTACAGAATGAGACTGCAGGTGTAACTGGTATTTCTGATACACGTCTTCACTGGATGCTTATTTCAGTATTTTTTTAATAGCAGCTTACAAAATGCTGACATTTATGAGCATCTTACTCTCTGCTCCTGTCAGTGGTCGTGGTAGTTCTGACATGAGAGGATGAAGTGTTAAACCACTTCCTTAAACTGCTTAAATCTGAAGCAGCAGTATAAGTTAAGGCCAGGCCACTGGCACCAACAGTGGCAGCTGGACCATAGAGATTTGTGAGGGTTTTAGGATTAAATTTAATGTAAATTTATCAATTTAACTTTTTTGCTTATTATTCTCATGGGAAGAAAAAGATTTCAGGCTGGTTCAGTGAATCCTGCAGTGAAGTTCATTAAGATAATGTGACTTTAACCGACTTAAGTGCAAGACAAAATAGTATCCTAGAATAAACCTGCAGAAAATGGCAGACTGCTGTGCCAGTTTCTAGCCATCTCCCAGATCTGTTAGCCTTCCAGCAGCATCCTGGGGTGCAGGGCTCAGAGAGACCCATAGGAAGCAGCTACACAGCCCTCAGGTTTACATGGCAGCCTCGTTGGATCAGATCTCGGTCTCTGGAACAAAGAGTGTGGCATCAAAGAGTGCTTGCTTTAACTTCCCTCAGCAGCAGAGCTTTGTGAGAGTTAAGAACACATTTTCGTTTGCTAGGCTAATGCTTCCTTTAAGTTCTTGTACAGCAGGCCAGTTCCACAGTTACACAACATTTGAGAGCTATTTTGTTCTTCTTTTCAGCATAACTCCCCATCCAGTGATGACAGCTCCGACTACAGCCATGATTCTGACATTGAGCGTACAGAAAGGCCACATAAAAAGAGTGGCAGCTCTTCATACAGAGATTATGATTCCTCATTCAGTCAGGTAGTACTGTTTAAGCTGATTCCTCATGTCTTTATTAGGTGTAATTTAGAAAAGCAGGTGTAACTGCTGGGGTTTTGGAGGCTGATTTGATGGCAGTACCCATTCTCATAGACTTCTGGAGGCACATCTAGTTCTCGTCTCCTTGAGGAGGTCTCCAAACGTAAAGCATGATCTGTGGCATGAATACAGGTGATGCAAGCAAGCCTGATACCATTTTTAACTCCATCAGGCTACAATTAAGATATCTTTACTATTGCCTGCATTGGATTTGTGTCCAACCCATGGCAGGGGTTGGAGCTAGATATCCTTTAAGGTCCCTTCCAGCCCAAATCAGTCTGTGATGCTGTGATTTAGACTGTTCTAAGAGGAAGCAGCTCCTGAAAAGCCACCTTTAAATATCTAGAGTTGATTCTGCATTCTGGTAGTTCCATTTGTCTTGGCTTTTCCAGTCTGTGCACCTTGGTAGCCTTCCTGGGACCACTGGGTGACAGAGAACACCAAGCTCCGAAGCTGTGATAGAGCAGCTTGATGGAACTCTGCTACTTCAGATGAGAGGAGCTTTTCCTTTTAGCCTGAAACCATTCCAGAAACCTTTAGGCCAGCCAAATCTAGTAACAAACTGAAGATCCTATCTGCAGGAACAGGAGAAGGGCCAGTGCTGGCTTAGGAGTGGCCATAAGCAGTATTTCATCCTGACAGAGACAAGGCAGAGTGTCTCATCTGTGTCTGGGATCATCAGGATTGGGGCTCAGGAAGGGAAAAAGTGATTTTAAGCATAGTTCATCCATGTGGCACTTACAACCCTTGGAAGTGTGTATGGTAAACTGCTTTGTCAACCTCTTGGAAAAGTTTCCTGGAGTTCAGATGCTGATGCTGTTGTTTTTTATCTTTTTTACTTATTTTGATGCATTCAAAATCAAAGTAGTAATTTTTACTGCATGACTGGTTCTCACTGTGTATTATTGATGTTTGCTTGTGCAAATCTGGTAGAGAGCATGACAATAAACCAGCATAAACCCAATGGGTTTATGGGGGTGTTGTTTGAGCTCTTGAGCTGCTCCTGAACAATACAATCCCCTCTCCACAGCATGGACACGTGTCAGGAAACTACATGAGCTCACAGAAAATGCAGCATAAAAAGAATGTCAAGAGTAAGGACTATGATGACTACAGTCACTACAGTGATGAAAATTTTGGGAATTACAATGAGGAGGAAAAGGATGAAGATTTTGCTGATCAGCTTAAACAGTACAGGCAAGCTAAAGAGACCTCCAGTACTGATTTGGGACCTCCATTCCCAAAGGAACCAGTGAAAAAGCAGGGCATGAAAGGAGTCCAGAAAGGTAAGAGAATTGGAATCATTAATTGTAGCAATAGCTGGTGTGTGCCAGTTGTATTGGGCATCACTTCAGGAGGTTTGAATTCAGATCTGGCAGCGGTGGCTTTCCTGCAAGCTTGCAGCCTCCCATCAGTGATGATGCTGTTCCTTAAGGACTAATACCATGTGGTCACATTGGTGCATGTGTTGAAGAAAAAGATCGAGTTGCGTGGTGTGTACACAGTAAAGAGAGAAATAAAGCCAAGATCTTTGTTGTGTAACTGCTTGAGGAAGTTCCAGCCCCCCTAACCCCACCATGGCAGAGAGGTTGGAACTGCATGAGTGTTAAGGTCCCCTCCAACCCAAACCAGTCTGTGATAAGAAATCCTAGTGCTGCAAAGGGACTTTCTGGTCGTAGTTTATGAAGGTCTGAAATGGGATTCGATTGGGGGGAGGAATGTAAATGGGTTAATGCAAAAATCTAATTTAGTCCCCCCGAGAATTAAGTACCTGGAAGTTTTGATAGGTGCCTGAATGCTTCTGTTATTATACCCACAAGTATTACTATGTACTGTGTAGTAGTACAAGTACTGTGCTAGTATCCTTTTATTTTCCTTTCCGTAACTCTTCTTGCATGTAAGCTTGGCTGATACGAATCCCAGTGAAAAACCACTCCTCTTAAAGAGGACTTCTCCCTTGAATCATGGCTAAAGTTTGACTCCCAGTCAATTTGAGCAGGGTTTTGTGTGACAGTATGAATACCATAGTGGTTCTCAGGAAGATACTGTGTGTTGTTCAAAGGTAGCAACTTGTTTTCCATTTACTACAGTGAAGATTTATTGATCGGTTCTGGTTTGGTTCACAATGAAATAAATGGCCAAAACATTAGCAGGATCTCTTTAGCTGAGGCAGAAATGGCTTTTCATGTGCTGCTTGGCAATACTGCTTCCAAATCTCTGCCTGCAGGTCATCTGAGATGAAGTCAAGGTGTTTTCATTGCAGTTGGCCTTGCTGTCGTAGAGTGGCTGCCACCTGAAGCAGGAACTCTGTAACTGGTTGTCTTTGGGTTTAGATACAGGAGAAAGCAGATACTCTGATAGTGTTAGCTGAGGCCATGACTCCTGCTGTGCTCCTGGCTCCATCGTTGCAGTCTTGAGCCTTCCAGACAGTTCCCATTAAACAGTTCTATATTCACAGCTGTTTCACATTTCTTAGGTTAAGATCTCAGGTCTCCTGTATGGTGTGACAACAAATCAGGCCCTAAACCCAATGCCAACTGCACCCCTCTAGTTCTGATTCAGAAAGTGACCAAACAGTACTTCAGGTATTTGGGCTGGTTGGAAATAACACGTGTGCATTTCCAGTTGTGAGTGCTGCTTGGGACAGGGTTGATTTCATACTGGGTTTGTTGCTGTGAAGAGCTCTTCAAGGAGCAGGCACAGGGTTACAGCTGGCTGGTGCAGTTGTATTTGCTGGCTTGTCATTCAGGAGAGTATTTAGGCTGTAAAAAGGGAGAGACTTGGTTAGTGTGATTTGTCTGTATTCAGTGTCACTAGATAACCATTGTTCTTTACTTTCTGAGGTGATCTAAAGAGGTAATTTCTGTTTTCCAGGTATTTCTCAAAGAGGAAATAATTACAATATTGGTCGAGGGCGTGGGATGCAAAAGAAACTGAAGCGTAAAGATCGTGGAAGGGGAAGAGGAGGCAACAAAGGCTCTGATGGCTTTCATGAGGTATGTACAATTAAAGGCAGATTCCAGATGTGGTTGTTGCAGATTACTGGATGCTTTGCTTTAACAGAAGAGTATTTCAAAAGACATATCTTTAAACTTTACCAAGAGCTCCGCACTGGCCCAACAGGCTCGTAAAGAGGAGGAGAATTTTCCTACCTGGAAGTATCTGCAGTGAGCAGTTTTCACAGATCAGGAGGAAGGTATAAGGGGACAAGACACATGTTGAAAGAGCTGGGCTGGGTCAGCCTGGAGAAGAGAAGGCTTCTTAAGGGGAGACCTTAGAGCAGCTCCAGTGCCTAAAGAGACTCCAGGAAAGCTGGAGAGGAGCTTGGGACAAGGGCCTGTAGGGACAGACCAAGGGGAATGGCTTGAACCTGCCAGAGGGGAGACTGAGATGAGCTCTTAGGCAGAAGCTCTTCCCTGTGAGGGTGCTGAGGCGCTGGCACAGGGTGCCCAGAGAAGCTGTGGCTGCCCCATCCCTGGCAGTGTTCAAGGCCAGGTTGGACACAGGGGCTTGGAGCAAGCTGCTCTAGTGGAAGGTGTCCCTGCCTGTGGGAGCAGGGGTTGGAGCTGGGTGAGCTTTAAGGTCCCTTCAACACAAACCAGGCTGGGATTCTGTGATTTTTTTCTCTTATCTAGAAACTTCCTAGAATTTCCTGACAGTCAAGGTACAAAATAGGATTGATAAATTAATAGTAATTTGCTTGTTTTTCTTGGAAATATGAAAAAGTAGCAGAAAGTGGTTTGTGGGCTTTGGCTTTGAGTGGTCCATTGACTTCAGTGTTAACTATATCTGAAATGAAATGCTACTACTAGCAAAGAAAATGGACATTTTTTTTCTAGTTTCCATCTGAATCGTGAGGAATTCTCCTTCTCTTCTATGGCTGTGACTGTACAAATGGAAATACATGTGACCTTGGTTTTCATCTAGTAATTCTCTGCACAGGAATTAAGAGACAATGTAGTGTTCAGTATTTGCACAGTAGTTGTAAATGTCTCACTCCAGTCTTCATTTAAATGCAAACCAATACAAAACCAGTGATTAATGGGTCAAATCCATCCGTGGCTGGAAAACATTTAAGCCAACTCATGTTAAGTCTGAAATGTTTGTGGCTCTGCTCTCTCCTACCCTCAGGAATGCACATGGCTGGCTTCTCACTAATGTGGTGGTGGAGAATTCAGCCATGTTCATCTTCCCCCACGTTCTCTGCTGGCCAAACTCTCTGGGGCTGCTGGGTGGTCCTGATCAGATCTTCCCTGGATCTCTTAGGTCCTCTTTGATGTGTTAGGATGATGCTTTGTTTGTAGGACTCCTTCTTGTAGAGCATGCCCAGTCCTCCAGTGCCATCTCCCAGGCTGTGGGGAAGGGTGGAGGCAGCTCAAGCAGGTCCCAGCAGGCAGAAGGCAAAAGGCAAAAAGCTGGGCTCCTGGCTACAGGGAGGTAAGGAAATGGGACATAGGTTCCATGGGTTTCAACCTTGGTCCATTGGTTCAAGAGCTTTGTGGTGTGGGACAGTCACTGATTTAGTCCCAGAGACTTGAAGCATCCTGTTTATGTGATACTTACATGGACCTTGAAGAGGATCAGGTGTTAAGTTCAAAGCTGCTTTGCGTGAAGCGGCTGGGATTTCTCTGGATTCAGTGTGCTCAGAGGAGCAAATGGATCCTGAGGATCCAGGAGTGGCACTTCCAGCTCAAAGATTTCTGCTTCTCAGTGTCAACAAAATCTGCAACTCATCCTTAGTGTTAATGTTGTGTGACATTGCTTAATCTGCTGAGCAGAATGGGAGCAGACACTTGGTGCCCTCACAATGCAGTGTGATGGCTGTGGAGAACCACAGCCATTCCAGAAGCTCCTGCTCAGCACTCAGGTCCCTGCTCATCTTTGTGAACATGGGGAATGGGAAAAGGCCATTTCCCTCTATCATCAGACCAGTTGGAAACCACCCAGCACTGCAGAGACAAGGTTTGTTCTAGCCTCTGGTGCAGTGCCAGAGGCAGCAATTCATTAAAGGCTTCTATTGCCTTTACTAGCTGCATGAGGTCCCCTCAGCACCATCCCATACTCCCTGCTTAGAGTTTTCCACAGTGTTTTTAGTTTATCCCAAGAGCAGATGCCACATGGGAATCAACTCATGAGAGAACAATTATTTGCCTCACTAAGTGCGTAATAATTCTCACATGTTGGGTCATGATTGAATTGTGCTTCCTCTCTGTTTTCCCTCATGGTATAAACATGTATTAAAGCAGCTGAGAAAAAGTATTTATTTACCTATAATTTGAGCTGTGGGTATAATAATTAAGAACATAAATCATGGTGAAGTGAATCACGTTTTGGGGTAACTGGTGCCCCAGGTGTGCTCTTAATGTTTCCACAATTGTACTTAATAAGAAAGCATCAGCGTGATGTTCATTTCTCTTAACAGGATGGCAAACCAGTGAAGAAGTGGGTGAACATGAGCCAGGAGTTCATAAATCAGCACACAGTGGAACACAAAGGCAAACAGATCTGTAAATACTTCCTGGAAGGGAGGTGTATTAAGGTAATTGTGCACTTGTTGGTCTCCGCTTTGCTGTGCAGAAAGGGGGGAAGTGGCTCTGTTCTGGTTTACTTCAGCTCATGCAGAGAAAATGTGTGTTGAAATCAGTGTTTTGGTGTTTAATGTTTTGAGAATTGATATATAAATGCCAATTTATGGAAAAATATATTACACATTTTGAATTACAACAAATTCTATCCAAAATACTGTGTTTATTAGTATAGACAGTACAAACATCTGTGCTAGTATCAGAAACTCACACTGCTAATGTATCCTGTAAATACACATCAAGTCTTACAAGGGTGGAGTGTGTCAACAGGCAATGATTCTGAATGCATTAGATTATTTGTCTTTATGTGCCACTGTTAATTTTGAGCCATTGAAGGAATTGCTTAGTGCTGCTGAATTGCTTCTCTCTCCCAAGTAAAAAGTGGGGTTGTAGCAATAGTTCCCCTACCAGAGAATCATCTTCCTGCAGGCATCAAGGGGCAGGCAGCAGGAGGGAGGCTCTTCAGAGCAGTCAGCTTCAAAGCCCTTCCAACACAATCTCTCACTGCATAAATGAACTGCTATTGCTTCATTTTGAAGCTTATTTATGCTGCTGGGGTTTGAATCCTCTGATGTCAGAGTAGTTCAGTCAGGTATAACCACACTTGAGAGAAACTGCATGCTCCTCAAAAGGTGTGTGTCATTTCTGTGTGGTTCCTCTCTGTATTTCGAGATAGAACATCCTGTTTCTTTTTCAGATGGTGAAAATAAAGGTAAAAATGCTTTTTTTTTTTTTTCCCCAAACCAGGAGCAATAGGAAATCACGATTTGTTGCTGCCTTTCTGTGTTCTAGTGTGTCCTGCTCAGTGAGACAAGGATTTGCTGCCACCTTCAGTTTTAAAACAATAAAAGAATACTCTTAGTGTGGTTTTTGTGAAAATCACTACAAAAACTGTGCATAAAACCTCTCACCCTACACCCTAATTGTAGTGTGATGTGGCTGATAGAAACTTGGTATTATTTGGACTCTATTTTTCCTCTGTGGAAGAGTCTTAATATTTTTGGACTTTAAGTTCTCTCACCCCTCCTTAAAACAGAATCAGGTTTTCTGATCCATAACAGTTTATATGGAAAATAATGTTAGTAAAATACTTGTTTAAATATCTTCTTATTGCAAGTAGCCAGCAGAGACAGAGAAGAGAACTGGGACTGAAAGAGCAGCTTGTTTCCTGTGAGCACTGCCTCTATTTTAAGTCCCAATTCAGGAATTGTTTCTCTATGTCCAAGCCCCTTAATCACAGTTTTAGTTTGCTTCTAATGCAGTCTGATGCAGTAAAGATAAAAAGCTGCAATTCAGCAAAGGAGGATGTTTTTCTTTAAATATTGAGTGGAATTACTCAGCATTTCAGGTGGATAATGGGATTTCTTGGCTTTATTTTTAGGGAGAGCAGTGTAAATTCGATCATGATGCAGAGATTGAGAAGAAGAAAGAGATCTGCAAGTTCTACATACAGGGTTACTGCACCAAAGGAGAGAACTGCATTTATTTGCACAATATCCTTTAAAAAGTAATACTTGAGTTAAACTGCAGGTTTATATTTACTCTTAAGTGACGTGATTTTTAAGGCTATTTGTTTAAGAGGCTGTACCAAAGGCTGTGTAGATTTAATACACAAAGATTATTTTTTTTGTGGGGGGGTGTCAGGAAACAGCTGTGAACCTACAAGAAACCTGGAGAGGGGCTTTGGGCAAGGGCCTGTAGGGACAGGCCAAGGGGAATGGCTTGAACCTGCCCGAGGGGAGACTGAGCTGAGCTCTTAGGCAGAAGCTCTTCCCTGTGAGGGTGCTGAGGCACTGGCACAGGGTGCCCAGAGAAGCTGTGGCTGCCCCATCCCTGGCAGTGTTCAAGGGCAGGTTGCACACAGGGGCTTGGAGCAAGCTGCTGCAGTGGAAGGGGTCCCTGCCCGTGGCAGGGGCTTGGAGCTGGAGGAGCTTTAAGGTCCCTTCCAACACAAACCGGTCTGGGATTCTATGATTCTGCTGTGGAATTGAGACCTTGTCCTGGGTTCAGCAGCAGCAGTCATTTTTCTCCTTCTTAGTAGCTGGTGCAGTGCTGTGGTTTTGACTTTCAGCCTGGGAGCAGTGCTGATAACACCGATGGTTTTAGTTGTTGCTCAGTAATGTTTAGTCTGACCAAGGACTTTGTGAGTCTCATGCTTGCCAGGGAGGAGGGGAAGCTGGGAGGAAGCAGAGACAGGACACCTGACCCAAACTAACGAAAGGGGTATTCCATACCACAGCACGTCATGCCCACTATATAAACTGGGGGCAGCTACCCAAGAGGGTTACATCACTGCTGGGGTCAGGCTGCGTATCGGTCAATGGGTGGTGAGCAGTTGTATTCTCTCCCCTTGTTATTTCCCTTATCATCATTATTATTGGTGATAGCAGCAGTGGTTTGTGTTATACCTTGTACTGGACTGCTCTTAACCTGTGGGAGTTACATTCCTTCCATTCTCCTCCCCATCCCTCCTGGAGCTGGGGGGAGGAAGGGGGGGGAGTGAGCGAGTGGCTGCGTGGTTCTGAGTTACCGGCTGGGTTTAAACCATGGCAGATCTTCACCTTTTTATTCACAGTTTTAGAATAGAGTCAAAAATAGCATTAAGGCCACAGGAATGTAATCATGAGTGGAGTGTTAAATGGAACTGGGAGGTGTAAGTTGGTTATTAGCTTTCAAAGTTCTTAACGTAGTGCTTTGGAAGGGTGAAGTGCTGGTGAAGAACTGAAGGATAGCTGAGAGCTGAATTTCATAGACTTGCCTGAGTGCACAAACTAGAGATGAGCCTTTGTTAGGAATCCTTAACACATTGCTTACATGAATTCCCTTGCAAGTTTTATCACACAGGAGCAAAGTGCTACCAAGGAGATAAGTGCAAATTTTCTCATGCTCCCCTGACTGCAGAAACAAAAGAGCTGCTGGATAAGGTGAGCAGTTTGTGCCCTGGGAACAGGAGGGTTGCTGCTAAAATCAGTGAGGGGGGGTTGGTGGAAATTTCCATGTGATTCTCAGGGAATGTGATGAATGATGTTAAACTTCCCTGTTGCTTTTTCACATGTCCGTGGCCAGGTTCAATACTAGGAATTCCTAGCAGTCATTTTTAGCCATATCAGACTTGCTGATTTTCCCAACTCATGTTTCTGTCCATGAACTTTATTTGTGCCCCTGCCTGTGGACGTCTGCATGGAGCCTGTAACAAGAAGGGTGGCTTTCATGTGGCTTACCTTTAGCTGTGTAGAAGTTAGGTATCACCTGACTGACTTCTGCATTCAGGGTGGAGAAAGGAATGAGGTGCCCCCTCTGAATGATTCATGAAATCCTGACCTTTAAGTAGGGTGTCTGTGTCTCTCTGCACTTCCTATGCAACAACCCGTAACAGAAAGTGGCTTGAATTTAACACCTGAAGCATTATGGATCTTGGAACAAGTCCTTCAACTTCTGTCACTTAAAATTACTGTTTGAAGGAAATTACTTGTGTGGAATTGTCCCTTCCTGGCTGCAGAAATAGTTTCACCCTGGCTGTGAATGGGTGTCCTGCAAAACAAGTCATAATGGATTTATAATCATCCTGAGTTTGATGTTAATAGTAGCATTGTAGCAGGCAATCAAATGGAAAGGGCAGGACTGAACTGCACTGCACTGCACATGCTGCAAAGTTTATGAAGTGTTTGCTACATTCCTGTGTTCCAGGTTTTGAATAACGAGGAGGAACCACAAAATGAAGATGAGAAAGAGCTGGAGGAGCTCCGAAAGCGTGGCATAGTTCCTCTCCCTAAGCCTCCACCAGGAGTGGGGCTTCTGCCAACCCCACCAGAGCAATATGCCTTTTCTGAGTCTGACATGGAAAACTACCAGGATCCATCAGGGGACTATAAGAAGATCCCATCTCTGTTTGAAATAGTTGTGAAGCCAACTGTGGATTTAGCACACAAAATTGGGAAAAAGTAGGTGTCAGAGCTTAGTGTAGACCCCTCCTTCAGACACGGCTGCAGGAGTACGTGAACAGTTCTCTTTGCTCCTGTCACAAGTGTGCACTCCTGAGTGTATTTGCTGAGTTGAAGTCCTGTCAGATATTGGCTGTTATAATTACTTAATGCTTTTCCTAGAAGAGAACTTCCTGAGCATTGCCCTTCCAGGAAATCACTCCATTGGCTCTTGGTTTGGCTCTGTGCCTGCGTACCTATCTCTGCTTGCAGGCTGAGCAGTTCATTCTCTTCCACAACCTCTTTGTGGCTGTAGCTAACAGACACCCCTGATGGAGACTGTTGGCCTTGGGATGTTTAAAACCCTTTGCTGCAGCAAATACCCAGTTCTGCATCTGCTAGTATGTTGTACATGTCCTACTTCCAGACACTCTGTTGTGGTATGATGAATATTTAGTGTATGGAGTTACTCTCTTTGAAAATGACTTTGCTTCTTTCAGATTTTAATCCACCTTAAGATCAGCTAAGAGCAGACGTGTAAGGGTGAGGAGGGCAGGAGATAGCTAACAGGCTGCTGACCTTTGTAGGTGCAGAACCTGATTCACTGATTTCCTTTTGCCTGCAGGCCACCAACCTTCTACAACAGCGCATCGCCCCCGAGACCACCATTCCCAGGAAATGACCCGCATTCCCAGCACATGTACAACCCAGGTTCAAGTCCAGGACCAGGACCTGGCATGTCCCAAGGACATAACGGGCCACCAATGCACCCAGGTTCTCCTGGACATCATCCATGTGGAGGGCCCCAAGGCCCAGGCATGCCGCAGAGTCCTCCCATGCAGGGTGTTCCACCAGGCTTTCTCGGACCACAGAACCAGAGTGGTATGCCTATGCAAGGACAGCAGGGTGGCCCACCTCACACCCCACCAGGTCTTGGTGGATCTTACAATGCCCCGGGAGGACATATGGTGAACATGCCAAGAGAGAATCACTGTCCTCCAGGGCCACAGTACCAGCAGATGCCTGGAGAGCGGCAGCCCAACATGAATTATGAGCCTATTCAGAACGCAGCTGACTTCTATGACAATTACTATTCCCACCAAGCTGTACACAACTTCCAGCCAGCCAATAACTCCGGTGGTAAGGACACTTCAGAATTGCTGTTCCTTGATCTGGTGCTTTGCAGGGGTTTGGTATTGAAATATCGTGGCTCCAAAGCTGAGCTGCTGAGAGGATCTTGGATAGATGTCTTCAGTGTTAGAGGTGTTTTCCAGTTGTGTAATATACATCACATTGGTTTTACTCGATGTGGTTTATGTTTTCTCTCCTCTGTCATAAAACCTTGTATAGGTTAGCTGCTGACTGGTGTTTTTGTGCTGCAGATGGACAGTGGCATGGAGAATTCTCAGATCACCAGGCTCACCTCATGGCTCAAGAGTCGCATCAAGGTGGAAGCGAGTCGGACTGCATGAGTAGCCACATGGGCCATAAGCCAGCCATTAATGTACCAGATTTCCTTCCAGCAATGCAGAAAGCCCTTTATGCAAGACTTAGTCAGAAGCATCAGAGAGATGGAGACTCTGTCAGCAACCAGGGGCAGAGAGCAATGAGCAAAGATGAAGGTAAAGATCATTTTGTTGGAGCTCTAAACGTACTGACTAGGTATTAGTGTGGGACATGGATTTTTGTCACCTTACCACTCACAGTTACTGTGTTTTCAGTTGAATGTACTTGCTTTCCTCCCAGCTTGTTCTAGGATGTTAGCGTAGGCTTAGTTGCTTTGTTCCAGTTCCACGCAGAAAGATCCATGGATAATTTTTGGATACAGTTTGTGCTTTAAAAAGTTCTGTTGTGGATAACTTAATTCCTTCTTACAGTCCTTGCCTGAAACAGAGAGGTTTCTAACTGCCAGTACTGCGAGTGCATCTTAGATTCTGTTCACACAGTTGTGTCTTAATCTTTCTGCGTATTCCATATCTCTAGAGCAGTAGTTTTCCCCCTGGGATAGCTGCACTTCGCAGTGTTCACCTGGGTGATGGAGGGCAGTAAACCTCCTGATCAGATCCAGGCACAGAGTGCTCTTATCCCTTGTCCTGCTCCCTGCTGCCCCCTCTTCTGAGGCTGCTGAGTTGCGTGGCCAGAAGTGCTTCTGTAGGACCAAAAGGCAGCTGCTGTACCTGCTGTTTGTGAGGACATGCTGTATCCTGGGGTTCTGAGGGCGCTGCCCATGTAACTCTGATCACATGGTGAGAGATGTGGAGATGCAGTCCTCCAGGCTACCCAGAAAACCAGAGCAGCCGGGTGTAACCTGCTCTGAGCTGGAGGCTGCTCACCACAGGGATGTGTCCTCCCCTCCAGAGGGCTTTTGGAAAGCGGTGTGAGGGGAAAATGTACCTGTCAGCTGCCTCCAGAACATTCCTCTGCCTGTCATTGAGTGCTGGTGTGGTGCTGCTGGCAGTGGGGGAATGCAGGGTCACAGAATCAACTGGGTTGGAAAAGCCCTTTAAGCTTACCCAGTCCAACCCTTACCCCAGCCCTGCCAAGGCCACCACTGCCCCATGGCACTGAGGCCTCGTCTCCACGGGCTGTGAACCCTTGCAGGGACGGTGACTGCAGCCCTGCCCTGGGCAGCCTGTTCCAATGCCTGAGCACCCTCTGGGGCAGGAATTGTTCCTCAGCTCCATCTAAACCTGCCCTGGTGCAGCTTGAGGCCATTTCCTCTTGTGCCATCCCTTGTTCCTTGGGAGAGCATGTGTTACTGTGCATTAGATACTGGGGGGAGGTTGTCTTCATTTCTCAGTCTACTAAGCCACAATAGACACTAAGTCTTCTTTCGCAAGCAGGTGAGGTAGGATGTGGAACTAAGCACAGAGCTGGGCTGATGAGGCTTGCCAAGGAAATTATATCCCATAGATGAGGATTTATCCGTTAAAATAAAACATTCTTATTCTTCCCTTCCTGAATCTTGAGCTTTCACAAGAATGTGGTGACTTGGATGTAATAAGGCAGCAAATTCCACGTCTGTAATTGACCTGGTTCTGAGACTTACAGTGCTGTTTTACTTTTCATTCTGCCATCCCACAATGAAGAACAGTTTCACCAAGACTCACATTTTAAATGGGTTTTTTATTAGTGCTGGTGGAAATAATTGTTTGAAACAGGTTATTTTCCTAAGTTAATGTTGACAGAGAGAACACAGCAGAGCTTGGGTTTTGTTATGTCAGTTTTTTGTTGAACTGGATTGTTGTCATTTCAGATGAGAGTTATTGTAATACAGGGAGAGATGATTTAATATCAGGTCTTTTCAGTCTCAGTTTGCTCAGAAACTACCCTTCATGTGAATGAATGGGCTGTATTCCCCGGTGGTTGTTTGCTTGACTAACCTTGGTTTGGTGGTTTTCAGATGACAACGTCAACTGGTATTCCAGCAGTGAGGAGGAGGAGGGGAGCAGCGTTAAATCAATCCTAAAAACCCTAAAGAAGCAAAGTGAAAACTTCCGGAATCGGCAGCAACATTCCGCAGAGCAGCACATGCTTGGAATTCCCACTGACCCCCGCCTGGCGAAGGAGAAGGGAGCAGGGCCCCAGGCTGCTGACCCCAGGCTGAGGGCTTCTCCCAGGTCCAACCCACGGAAGCCTTCGGAGTCCGGCTCCCTGGACCCGCGGCTCGTGCGGGATCCCCGGATGCACAAGGTCAGTGAAGGTGCTCACGGCAGCTCGGCCCTTGGGGGAGCAAAGCTTGAGCTGCACCACGCTGGGGGCAAGGCCAAGCAGAAGGGGATGGATGATGATGAAGAGGACTCGGAGAGAGAGCTGCGGGAGCGAGCTTTCCTCATCCCCTTGGAGCCTTTGCCTGGCGTGACGCTGAGGGACCCGCGATCCCAGCTCCGGCAGTTCAGCCACATTAAGATGGATGTTACCCTCATGAAGCCAAACTTTGCTAAGCATATTGTATGGGCACCTGAGGACTTGCTCCCCATACCTCTGCCTAAGCCTGACCCCGTCTCTTCAATCAATTTACCTCTCCCTCCCCTCATTGCTGACCAGAGACTGAACAAGCTGCGAGGCTTGAAGAGCGATGCCCATGCGAGCGCTGCGCCGGCAGACCCGCGCCTGGCTGCCAAGGCAAAGAACAGCCTAGCAGCCCGGGGCAGCTACTTGGATCCTGCTGCAGATTCCCATGCCAGCAGCTCCAGCAAGCTGGGAGATCCCCGCTTACAAAAGAACGTTGATCCCAGGCTCCACAGACTGTCGAGTGCAGACACGCATCATGGGGTCGCAAAGGACCCCTCACACCCCGCCAAGTTTGACCCCCGCCTCGCCAGGTCTGCTGCTGGCTCCTCACAGCCCCCCGAGGCTGCCACTGCTAAACCTGAGCCGGATGCTCTGCCTCCCTACGCTCCCAAACTGGCATCCAGTGGGGGGAGGCTGGGAGCTCCGGGCTCCATCCTGGGCGGTATCAGCCTGTATGACCCACGAGATCACAGCTCGACGCTGGACGCGGCTCCAGCGGCTTCGGGAGAGAATGGAGAGAACCAGAAAAAGAGCATTTTGAAAAATTCCGGGAAAAATGAGCCCGGTGCCCCGGAAGATTCATCTCTGCAGAAGGAGAAAGCCCCGGAAGGACCCAGCTCCACGGAAGCTGCTCCGGATAAAGCAAGCAGCAGCAGCAGCAGCAGCAAACCTCAGGCGAAACACTCCAGCGCTGCCCCGGCGGTGCACAACCTGCCCATCCAGGCCTTGTCGGGGCTCATCAGACCCCAGTACAGCGACCCCCGGCAGGTCAGGCAGCCTGGGCAGGGAACTCAGCCCCCGGAGCCCGATCCCGATGGGGAATCAGATGACAAGTCCTTAAAAGATGTTTTCAAGACTTTTGACCCCACTGCTTCCCCCTTTTGTTAGCGATCGAGTCTTTTTACCGTTGTGAATATTGCAGGTTTCTGCTGTTTTGTAACTGGTTTACCTCTTTGCTTTATTTATTTGTAAATTATAATTCTCAACACTTTTCAGCTGCTAATCTCAGAACCACATGCAGTCCTCCAGTCCGCTCTAGTGTTTGCAAAGCTGTGGTATTTTCTATAGAAATACTTTTCCAAGTTCAGGGAAGACTAATAATTGACATGTAGAAACCCCCTTCCCCTCCCATGTATCGTGTTAGAGCTGATTCAAGCACTTTCATTGTAAATAAGCCATGAAGAAGCCCCCCTCCGGAGCTGTATATGTGTGAGCTGTCTCTTTCATAAAGGCCATGTAGATCTGATTGCCACATTTGTATGATTGTATAGACACGAGCAATATTATGTACATTTACTGTGAGAGGCAAGGAGTGCTTTGACCAGGATTGCCGGACACATCAAGCCAAACCCAACGAGTGATTCCAGACCCCACGGAAACGCTTTCAAGAGGAAAAACTTTGCTCCTCCTTTTCAGATCAGTACACGTGAGACATTGTTTTTATTCACCCACTCGATATCCTTAGTGTAAAAGAGACCTATATCGCATATTGAGGATGAAAAATGTCATATCTTTTAAAAGTATTTTATTCTATGCTGTATATAGAAGAAATTGTGAAGTACAGAGCTAGAAGGAAGGTCCTGTTCCAAGTGGAGAATACTTCAGTTGTCTAATACAGAAAAGGGTTTTATTTAAGTTTTTTCCACTCCTCCACCCCTCTGATTAGTGCTCTGAGTTACCTTGTGGTGTTCATGTATTTCAATGTATTTTTGTATTCAGCTGCTTAATTTGTATTGCTTTTTTTGTATGGATGTAACTGCAGTACTTGTATTCATGGTGTCTTTATGACATTTTTAACAAAACCATTAAAAAGGGTACAGATAAAGGCTGGTGGTGGCTGTGCTGTTGGCAGGGGAGGAGCAGTGCAGTGGCTCAGAGTGCAGTCACAGGCCGTGGGGTTTAAACACACCTTGTACCAATGCACATGGTACAGTGACTTGACACCTTGTACCAGTGCACATGGTATGAGCCCACTGCTCTGCTCGCAGCCACTGGCTTGGAGGTGAGTTGTTGCCATTCTCCTCCTCCGATGCAGCATCCTTGTGAGGAGTGTGGTGCGTGTCCTTCCAGTTCTGAAGCTGTTGCATGCGGAGAGCACAACTGACCTCAAAGCCCCTCTTGGTCTGGCCTTTTTGGGCTGCTTTTGCTGTGGAGGAAGGAAGCGTTGTCCCCTGTCACTGGCTTCCTTTGCAATAAAGATGTGCCCTCAGTCGCCGCCTGCTTCCCCAGCACTTGGAATGTTTCTGTGCATTCCGGCTCTCCCTCAGTGGACCTTTGCCTCTGTGTCTGTTGGCAAAGGTCACACCTGCAGCTGGGACAGCACAATCTTTGTCACAGATTCCAAGGTTTTGGGTTCCAGAGAGGCAGGAATAGAAATGTCTCGTTTGGATGTGCAAAACATGGCAGAGGAGGCATTGCTAAGGGCAATAATGGTTTCACTTTGCCTTCCTCATGTCCCAGTGATAAATAGCATTAATATGATGATATTTTGAATTGTGTTAACTCAAAATGATTGAAAACGAGATGACAGGAGTGAAACTTGGTTCTTAGTTTGGAGTGGTTTATCAGTCCTGCCTAACTACTTATTACTGTGTCATCTTGTGACAAGTTTGGCTGTTCAAGAGTTTCATCAAAAACCCAAGCCAGCAGAATTGGACCACAGGGAAAAATAGCTTGGAAGTATTGATAGGGATTGATGGATTGATAGGGAAATAAAGGGAAGAAGTGATGGTGTTGAAGCCAAGTGGTGGTTTCACGGAATCCTTGTAGGATGTGCAGCTCTAACCTGGAGTTACAACTTCCCTGTGTTGATGCCATCATTAAATAGGATTCTTTGTGGGGATTTTGATGGAAGTACTAGAAAAATAAAGAGTCAAAGGCAAAGCTTTGGTACTGAGAGCAACATGGCAAGTCTTAAAGTTGAGGTAACTGCAGGATATTGGGTGCTTTGCCATCGGTCTGGTTATGGACCCATTTGGGAGTCGCAGGGTGGGTTCTGGTAGGGGACACGGGATGCTGGCTGCTGCTACCCCAGGGATCTGTTGCTATCTCTTTATCTTCAGTCCAATACCATTCTTCATTCTGGAACAGAAGGGGCACAGGTAAGTTGAAAGGGGGCAGCTGGTGCTTGCAGCCTGTTGTCTCCATGTGTAACTGCCTCCTTCCTTCCTCCTGCCAGATCCAGCCTCCATCGGATTTCCCAGCTACAGCACCAGGGGCTGCAGGATACTGCTGGGCTCCTCCATCCACCTCTGCTTGTTGGTTTATTCCTTACAGATTCCCTGGTGTGCTGCTGCTGCTGCTCTCCTGAAACACAGAGAAGATCCAGCCCTACAGTGCAAGTATGAAGCTATCTGATACGGGGAAGGTGCTGGAGCTGTCGGTGGGGACTGTCCTGCTACAGCCACCAAGCAAGTCACGTCTGCTCTGCTGTGTGGATTCGTTGTGTGTTATCTCTTCCCCCAGTGCAGCATGCTGGCATGGAGCAGCATTCCGCTTGGATGCCTGAAACTCACACCCTGAGCTGTGGAAGCATGGAAGTGGAGAGCAGGAACGGGAGCTGCTGGTGCTGTTGGTCCTGGGTACTCCAGAAGCCCATAGCTGTGAGGTGGGTGATACACTGAGTGTTTTATTCAGGGCTGAGAGGGATTTGGGGAGGAAAGTCTCAGTTCTTCGCAGGAAGATGCTCCCCACTCCAAGCCCTGGAGATGGGAAGGAGTCAGATGTTGGTGTCTGGTCTTGGCTCATCCTGCACTGCAGGAAGACTGAGCATTGCTCAGTCACTGCCTGGGGTTTGCAGCCGCAGGATAAAAAGCCTGGTTTGTATTTCACTACTGTGATGAAAAGACTCAACACAAATCCTTCGTAGTGCAAATGAAATCCATTTATTCTTGCAAAGACAGAACAATTGCACTCCTGGTTTGTGTTTCAGATCTCAGTGATGCCTGAATTAACTCCCTTAGGCTTCCTTCTCATTCAGTGCATCTGTCCTCCAGCTTGTGTAGTGCATGTTACCCTCCTGACTTCATGTTTAGTGTATGAGCCTGCTGCAGGGCTCTACCTCTCTGGCTGCCCTTCCTGTGCAGTATTTAGGATTGTTACCCTGAGAAGAAAGGGATGGTTGCAAAACAGGTTGATAAAGTGCTAAAGATCAGGGCCTGAGAAGGACCTTCCAGCTCGGTGGCTTTCTTGAGTGGGAGATGAGCAATTGGGTTGTTCACAGAACCCCTGCTCCTTCATGGGATCCCAGCCTGGTTTGGGTTGAAGGGACCTTAAAGCTCATCCAGTCCCAACCCCTGCCACAGGCAGGGACCCCTTCCACTGGAGCAGCTTGCTCCAAGCCCCTGTGTCCAACCTGCCCTTGAACACTGCCAGGGATGGGGCAGCCACAGCTTCTCTGGGCACCCTGTGCCAGCGCCTCAGCACCTTCACAGGGAAGAGCTTCTGCCTAAGAGCTCAGCTCAGTCTCCCCTTGGGCAGGTTCAAGCCATTCCCCTTGGCCTGTCCCTGCTTATTCCCCCCAGCCAGATCTGCTGGTGCTGCTACCAGTGTGTTCCTACCTCCTTCTGTTCACATCTTGGGCACTGAAGAACAGGGAACTGGCAGCTACTGAAAGTGGTAACAGTGAAGGTACCTCATCACAGGCTGCCTGCCCTGTGTTGTGGCATCATTCTCTGTTCACTCACCAAAAGGAAGCACAAGCCCCTTCCTCTTTCCACAGGTGGCCACCCTAATTGTACATCCTTTAACAGCTTTTGGGTGCTCGGGGGTGTCCTTGGTGTGCAGTGCTTGGTCTTGCACCATCCCCACCAGGGAGGGCTCGGCCCTGGCCCGAGTCCTGCGCAGCCCCAGTTCATCCCTGTCTGAGGTGAAGGACTCTTTGGCTCTGTGCAGGAACAGGTTTCTTCTCCACTGCATGCAAAATGCAGCTGCTGCTGCTTCCTCAGAGTCCGGCGGGGGCTGGCGCAGACCCTGTCAGACACAATATATGCATGCTTTAATGTATTGCATATGAACTCATTTAAAATACCCTAAATGATGTGAAAGTCTGTGTGTATCAGTGTGTGCAGGACCACTGTGGCTTCTCTACCTGTTAATGCCTTAGAAATGCTTAAAAGTGCTTAAAAACCTGCTTACAGAATGAGAAAAGGAATGCAGTAGAGTCAGTTTAGGGACGTTCCCAAAGGGAAAAAGCCAGGTTGTAAAGGGCTTTGTAATCTGGACAGTCAAAACAAGAGCGTGGCTTGTTCCTTCAGGATCACATCAGTGAGAAATGGGCATACATAATGCTCATTAAGCACAAGAGGAGCTTTGTCACCTGGCTGATGTTCATCCAATGGGCTCTAACAACACGTCTCTTGCAGAAAGACTCAGAAAGCTCAGGAGAAGCAGGAATACCCAGGAAACTGGGCACAGAATGGAAAACTGCCTCAGAGGAGGCTCTGGTTGTACTTGGGCTTGGTCCTGAGTGCTTTCAGGTAGAGCTGCTCTCACAAACTGTACAGTCAGATCAGTTAGCCACCCAAGGGAAGTTCTTGGGCATGTTGATCGAAGCCCATCTTGAGACAACATAAAGGCTAAGACCAACATGGACCATTTCCAAATACAGGCTACCAGTGAGATGCTGCTGCTCCCCTGCCCAAAAATGAAGAGGCAGATGAGCTAACAGGACTTCAGAGTTGGTAGCAGTGACAGAGCCTATTGATGCTTGGAAAGAAGCGTGGTGGGCTTTGGAAACCAGGCAGAGGCAGGACATAGGATCACAGGAGCAAGCAGAGGTCCCACAGCAGGCAGCTCCCACCTTCCATCACCAGGCTTGGCTGTAAGAGCTCCCCCCAGCACGGACTCACCTTGCAAAGCCCATCTGGTGCCATCAGCATGAACTTACTTTGATACACGCTGCCTCAGCTGCCTTCAGGATGTGCAAAACCGCCTGGACCAGGTTCTGTGTGTTGCTCACGAGCAGCTCAGAAGAGGATTTGCTCTCTGCAGTGACTGCTTTCACCCTTCAGAGACATTTTAAAGCGTGGAAGAACATTGGTGTGTTTCCCCTGTGTGGTCCATTACTCATGGTCCAAAGCCAGATCATTCCCTGCACTGTCAGAGCAGGTTTCCAGGGAAAATGGGGGAGGAAAGGGCTGTCTACGGGAACAGAAAGGGGAGCTCTAATGCTAGACCCAGGTTCCCCAGGGACCTCTGGAGCCCAGCAGCCTTGGAGAGGTGCCTCACCTGGCCACGATGCCGAGCTGGCTGCTGATGGTGAGGGCCTGCTCGGTGGCACACAGCAGCTCCATGGAGCACCTTCTGTCCAGACAGAGCTTGGCCACGGCACGGCCAAAGGTGACAAACTCCTGCCCATCCAGAGCCATCTGCTTCGCGCAGGCAACGAGCTGGTCCTTGCTCTGAAACAGGAGAGAAATGAGGGGGAGGCGGGGAGAGAAGGAGAAAAAAGGCTCTTCTCCTGCAAGACAGGGGAAGGCCACAGCATCATGGAATGGCTTGGAAGGGACCTTAAAGCTCCTCCAGTCCTAACCCCTGCCACGGGCAGGGACCCCTTCCACTAGAGCAGCTTGCTCCAAGCCCCTGTGTCCAACCTGCCCTTGAACACTGCCAGCGATGGGGCAGCCACAGCTTCTCTGGGCACCCTGTGCCAGCGCCAGCGCCTCAGCACCCTCACAGGGAAGAGCTTCTGCCTAAGAGCTCAGCTCAGTCTCCCTGGCAGGTTCAAGCCATTCCCCTTGGCCTGTCCCTCCATCCCTTGTCCCAAGCCCCTCTCCAGGTTTCCTGCAGCCCCTTCAGGCACTGGAGCTGCTCTCAGGTCTCCCC